TGTGACAAGAACAGCAGAAGGGATGTTTACGTTTGCAACTAAAACCAACCATCAAATGTGCTGCTGTGAATGTGGTTCTTAAAAGCATGGCCAGCTTTATATAAAGGTACATGAGGTCATCCTTCCCTTTCTTCGTATTGATTGCTTTCCCCAGAGGTTGAACGTTAGTGAATGGACTCTCGAGTGCTTGTACTTTACTTAAGTGTTTTGAATATTTTGAATATTTCCACAAGGTACATTAAAGTCTGCTACATTATTATCTATACTTACAAGTAGTATCTTTACATTTTCAGATTTTATACAGCATATATGATCAGTTAGATTAGCACCCCTCGACTACAATGATAACAACGCTGCCTATGTATTCATGTTAATGCGTGATAATAACCTAATAATGTTAAATAAAGAAATAAAACAATGTTAGGGGCCATTCTGTTCCCATAACAATTACTTTTACTTAGGGTTCGTACTTACTTACTTTAATATTTTGAATGGAAGACTTTAACTTGAGTATTTTTATACCATAAACAGTTCTTCAATCCACTGTCTTTCTCCCACAGTGTGAACCTTTACAGTAAGTTTGTCTATACAACTTATGGAAATAAATATTACTGCATTTTACATCCACCCCAGTGCAGGACACATTGAAGTTTCCCTCTCAGCCTAAAGACCAGCAGACCAGCCAGCACCAGTACAGTATCACCGCTGGGTAAGATCCTGAAACATCAGTGTGACCTTATGGTGCACAGTGATTTACTATATACTAATTCTGCCTTTTTATCCTTACACATTTTTGTACACCTACAGTTCAATCTGTGACTATCTAGAAAATACAACAGAGGTGCAAAAGACAACACTGTGAAACTGAAAGGTAACACATACTGGGTTTGAAGTATGCAAGCTGTAAGTCTCCTTACATTCATGTTTTATTTGCTTAACATGTTTTCACCAGCACCTTTTTATGTGTTAATATTTACTTCCACCCAGTTAATACTATTGTTTTCATGGTTATCTTATGCAGTGCAGTACTTCTTAATAAGAGCCTGTAGGTGTCACTGTTATACTTGTTATCTGGCTGCTGCAGCTGCCATTGATTGTGTGAGCTGGAGGAGAAATTGTTATGATTGTTAGACAGGAAGAGACATTGCATTTTGGCAAAGGGTCCATATGTGCATTTTACAGGTCAAATAAATGATTAACCTTGCAATTAACACTTAACACTTACTTAACACCTTTATGATAGTTTGCTACTTCCTATACTTATATATATACTTCGATGTCACAGTTTGAGTTTTACTCTAGTCTAAACACATATGAAATAGATTAAATTAACTGAGTAGGTTGCTCAGAACTGTACCTGGGTCTGAGAAGCTGAGGTTAACTGTTGGGTCAGACATTCTGGAGAGAAATATTTGATTGTTGAGTCTCATTCCCAGGTAATTAAATACTTGGGTATTTGACAACCTGGGAGCACACTCCGAGCAATCAACTATCTTCCTCCAGAATGACTGACCCCACCTTTAATAGATGGCAATAGAAGCTTAGTTAAAGGTTTTAATGAGGCTGGTTTAACGCCTGCTGCCAGTGCCAGGAATATGGTTTAAGGTTTGTTAAAGATGCAGGGACTTTAGGGGGTTGATGGTGATGACCATTATAGGTAAAGATAAGTTTAATGTAAAAATGTTCCCGGGCAAAGATGGTTTTGCTGTGAAACACTTTGATGTTGCAGCAGGGTTAGATTCATTGTGGATGAAAGGACAAAAGTTTTCTGACATCTGTCACACGCCAGTGCATGCCCTCCGCCCTCCAGACAATTAAGCTGTGGATAGGGGGTGGTGTCCAGTGGAAGAGGGTCAGGATCTTCTCCACTCTTCCTGTCCTTTTATTCTATGGTCTCTTGAGCTTTTTATCGCAGTCTTGGCAATGTGGTTATTTACCAGTTTCACTTCTTGGGATAAAACTATCAATTTAACAGTTTACTCCTTAGAGAAATAAAAAATGGCCGTAACGCTTAGTGCTCCATTATTTTTTTATAATTTCTAGAATGTTAACTGGAAAGGACTCTGTAATATGGTATAAGCTACGGGTAAAAGGCATAATACTCTGAGACTGGTAGTGAAATTTAAAAGCAGTTTCAGGCAGCTTTCCTTGGCAGAGCTGCTCAGAACCAAAAGTAAAAATATATAACCATTAATTTATTATAGGAAACTTTACTCTTCTTATATGTTGAATTGTATGCTTGCCTTTAAAGAAATTTCACACTTTTGCATGTTCAGCTGAATTGCTGTCTATTAACAAAAAAAGGCTCTAAGTTAATCAATTGGAAGTGTACCATCTGAATATAATGTGCCAAATGACATGGTTCTTTCAAGAAAACATCTTAGGAAATTATTAGAAAATTGTTATAAATACTAATACTAAATAATACTAAATAGTAGTAAATTTAGTAATACTGAATACTAAATACTACCAGTAAAATAAATATTTATCAAGATCTGAAATTACCTGTCAAAAATTACACGTCTGGATTATCACTGGTTGAATGGACCAGAGTAAATGGAAATAAGAAATAAAAACCTGGACCTGGTCAGTATATTTGTGAGAGAAAAACATTAACGGTGGAACAAATGTTTTCTTTTTATAGTATATTTTACTGAATGATGAGGACACTCAAACTTTAAACAATTTTGAATTTCATAGACAAAAAGACAAAGTCAGGTTTGGTGGGGACACTTCATTCATCTTCATTTCCATGACACAACAGCCTTTAGTGAGGTAGACTATAACAGGTCAAGAATTAGAAACATTGCTCTTTAAACTGGCATGAGAAATGACATGAAATAAATATTTCCATGTACAATGTCTTCAAAATGAGGTAGAAATGGTTACAGAGACAGACTGTACAAGATACAACAAAAGTACAACTGAATTACAAAGAAAACACTGAAATGCAATTTTCCATCTGTTGGACAAATTCAACTTCACTTACTTCAATGAATCAGAGTAATACCAAGAGACAGCAAATACTGTTGTTCGTTGCAGTGTGTAGGTTAATGTAGAGCACATTCTTTTTCTGTGGCATTAAAAGAGCATTCAATTTTTGTAGCTAAGCGCTTAAATACTTTTTAAAATCTGAGTAAGAATACACATATTATTTGCGCAGCACTTTGTTATTAATCTGTATCTTTCCTTCAGCATATTTTGACGCAAAATCCTTTTGTGTGATGACGGTATCATTTCCACACAAAACCACATTCTGAGTACATTTAATTTTATGAATGTGCTTATATTTCCAAAAGAGGCATTAAAATACTTTTTATCACATTGAATTTCAGACTAAATCTGAAGCTGCATTTCAGCCTAAAGTTTTACTATTAAAGGGGATCCACTCTGGGCATGCTTTTAGGCAAGAGTTCGGTTTTGTTACAGGCCCCCCAAAGGGCTTCATTTTGCAACAAAATAAAACAACTAAAACAGTATGGCACAACTTATGAAAGGATGGCATAGTGGAGCAACAAAGCCACAACTCTGTTAAAAAATTGTTTAACGTTGTAACTGTACATATTTTCTGACAGTGCACATACTTACTAATATTTAACTTCTTCCTTCTTCATGATGTCAATTCATGTTAGAGCTAAGTCAAGTTGATTGACTGGTGACACTGTGCCAAACGGTTTTAGAATACTGATATGGGAAATGGAAATTGGACACATTAAGACATTTAATAAACATACTTAGCATAGAGCATATACTGTAGTATGTGTACATCTTGATATGTCAAAAGTTGTTTATCAGGAGTGCTTTGTTTTGACAGTTTGTCCACAAAACTGTTTCCCCACTAACTACACTAACACTCAACACGTCATTCATTTCTCCATCAAAACCTATAAGAGAATTACATCTATACATGAAGAAAATATGTTTCATATATCTAAAAACATCATTGATGTACATTATGGCATGTATTGTCCTTTTAAAAAAAATATCTGAATTACATTCAACATATCAGGCCTTGGTACAAAAACCTCAAGTTTAATTTCCCAGAGCTACGAAGCAGTGTGGTTGGTGTGTGTGTGTGTGTGTTTGTGTGTGTGTGTGTGTTTTGCACTGTAAGTATCAAAGGCCTTGTAAGTTCATCATTTCCCTGAAGTGTATCAGAGTTTTGCTCTTAATAAAAGCCATGGCTCCGTTTTCATCTCGCTCCATAAAGCTCCCTACAAACACCCTAAGGTAATAACATACATTCTTATTTATCATTCTGAGGTAACAATATTCTTCCTGAGTATTCAATAACACGACTATAATCATCCTTTTGAGAGGCAAAAGTAAAGAGAATGCATAAAAAAAAGGTAAATCCTAGCAGACAAGCAGGCAGATCTTCATAAAGAATGTATTGTTGAGGCACTCACCCAGAAACATCCTCCAGCGCAACCTGCATGGCTCTCAGTTTAGGCTGTGCATCCCACTGAAGTAACAAACAGGCTTACGCATCTTTAAACTGTTGGTTCTGAGTGACTTTCAGCAGTACATTGACTTAAGCATGATTGTTTGTATTTTTGGTTGTTTTCTACATTTGTATAGTCTTTATTTCTTGAAATATTTTGAATATTAAGACTAAACCAGGTATTACATTATTCGCAGATTCTTTAGAAAATATACCTCGGATCAGCAGAAATCTGCAAGTAAACAACATGCTTTGAAGATGATCTGCATATAGTTCTATACTGTCATTGTGTGAATGCTAAATACATTTTTAAATGAACATAAAATTTTCCCACTCTATCTTTACATCAAAACAATTTAAAGGGCGGCGTCATGTGTACTATGTAATCATTTGATAAGCAGCTTGGTATGTGTAAACTCTACAAAAACAAAAGTTCTTAAGCAATGAAAAAGGTTGAGAACAAGAAGCAGGACACCATGATAGAATAAGATCAAGAACATGAAAACAGGGGATTAAAGAAACTGAAAGAAAG